GTAATAAAAAATTAGTAATTTACCTTCTTCCTAATCGTTATATTATGGACAAGAGAACGTTCAATTTATTCTAATTTGCTTATTAAATTTATAACAAATGATAAAAGAAATGAAAGTATTTACCGAAATTGAATCCGATTCTGTGTACGTGGCAATAATTTGATATAAGACTCTATAAAAAATGTGTTGTATCGGGTATTTCAGACCACTCGCATTATATCGCCCGCGCGCGAACGAGTGTGTATCCAAATATGTACGTATACACACATACACACATATACATACTAGAGCTCGGAATACTTGAGTACCTGAGTACCCGCCCGCCCGCTCCGTTATCCGTACATACAAATCTGGACCGGTTCCGCGAGTACCCGCTAATTCGGATACCGGCAGAACTGTGTGCGATATATGAGTACTCGAAGAATCGTGAGCGATACGGGTATCCATTTCGATGCGAGTATCCGCTGTATGCTACAAATATTTGCGTGTGATTTTGTCAGTTTTAAAGATATATGTTTTACAATTGTTTGTAGTGATTTTCATTCCGTTTGTAATTAAATATTCCGGAACTAAACTTTTTCGTTTTCGCATTATGGATGTTACATATTAATTAAACACGTTTCCAAATTTAATTTGCTTTGCAGGCACTGTACATCCTTAATTAAAACTGTTTAACTACAAAATAAAAATTAATAATAAATTAATAAAAATAAATAAACAATTCTAAAACGTCTTTAAAATTGACAAAATTATACACCGGTATCTGTAGCATATATCCGCATCGAAACGGGCACTCATATCGCCCACGATTCCGCGAGTACCTATATCGCAGACTGTTCCGCGAGTACTTGCATCATACGCGGTTCTGCGGGTATCCGAATTAGCGGGTACTCGCGGAACCGATCCAAAGCCCTACCCAGTGAGAAATGGCAATTATGCAAAATTTAAATCGATGTCGATTCGACGTCGAAATCATTAAATTGACATAGATTCAACATCGATTTCGTTGTCATTTCTCATTGGGTATGCACGGGTAACGGATCTGCGGGAAGTTACCCGAATTTTAAATTACCCGATTCTTTTTCCGAGCTCTAATATACACTTATATTAATATATAGATTATATTAATATATAGATGTATAGAATAATCTCACTATTTCGAGATTGAACATATCCGTCCTGTATTTATTTAATTTCCCTCATTTAAGAATTATTACTATGAAGCAGATGTTTCATGCTATTAACACAATATAATAGATAATATTTATCCTCTTCTTATCATCTTGTAATGTAGTCTGATCAAATCAGCTAAATCAAAAATTTAGCATAGATATTACAGCTCGAAAACTGAGCAAATTCAAAAAAATTAATTACTGTGCTCAACTAAATCTTGTTTTAAATTCAATTTCTTTGATATTATTTGGACACTTTTATGCAAAATTTAAATAAGCAAAATATTTTCTACTCAAAGCGTTTACTTTATTTCTTATTGCAAGGATACAAATAATACACGTTGTATATTATTGTAAGTACACATTGTAAAATTGATTTAATTGTTTCACAAAATCAGACTTTAATCGAGGGCTGTGCGCCGGTCGTGTATAAATTTTTTTCTGCAGCGGACGAGGGGCCAAAACGCGCGATAGAATTAAAATACATTGAAACCAGATTGCATCAAAAGAATTATTGACCAGTCACGTAAATAAAATTAATCGGTCACAGCGTAAAGACGTTAATTGGATTCGCGTGGCACTCGTCGCTCTTAATAATTAGAGTAACGAAATGCATTAATTGCTAGACGTTATAACTCGAAAGATCATAGATTAAATCTGTTTTACGTTAGACACACACGTTTATTCACGTGACTTGGTCATTTCATCGTCTAGAAACTTTTAACTTTAAACTTAATACTGGCCTTTCCTTGTACGATATGTGCGATAATACAAGATAATTTAAACCACACATAAGAAAGGAGAGAGAGAAAGAATAAATAAAACAACGCTGACATTTAACGGTGTCGCAAGCACGTTATTACGCTTGAGATGAAGCACTTTCCAAATATGTTTGGTATAAGCAAATGATTAGTTATAATCGGATAGTTCGACAAGACGAGCGAGAATTTTGCAATATCGCTCGGGGTGACAAAGGCGGTTCAATAATACTCGACCAATACTATTAACTTTTAAGATAAAAATGCACACGTAAATCTTCTTTCTTTTCTTAAGTCAATCTTTACTTCTCTCAAATTAGTACGTCCATATACTATTTATAAATCCTATTATTCTTGATTATAATTATTATAAATCTCAGAACGATGCGTTCGTGCCATTACATTGATGCTAATCGTTTCCAAATGTGTCATCGCGGATATGATTGTATGTTCATTCTCGGTTTATTTCCCGGCACAATTTACAAGAGTGTGTACATAACCAGCAACTTCAGCACCATGTCCGTTCGATGTGATGTAATGAAATGTAAACGTATAACGAGAGATATATTAATATATTACACAAAGATACGTGTATAATTAGCATTGTACTCTGCGTAACTTTACAAAGAAATAAAAATACTCGATTACTTAAATATTATCGATTTAATTCGAGTAACATATACATAAGAAGGTAGAATAAAGTGATTTTTTTAATCAACCTTTTATAATTTATTAAATCTAATTATTACACACACATAGAAGCGAAAATCAACTTAATCCTACAAGGAGTCTATAACGAAGAATTTTTTTCAATTAACTTAGCTTATAACTTTTCAAATACGGTTTAACAGAAGCTCTAATTGTAATTAATCGATATCAAAATTACAATGCAGCTTGTTAATTAGTTTGCATTCTTTTCGATCTTTTATAATGAAAAAAATATGTTAACACAATTGTTAAAAAATTTATGTGACAAAAATTTTTTATTTTTTCCATCTCATTTGTTTTTTTTATTGCAAGAATTTCATATTGCAAGAATTTTTATTGCAAGAATAAAAAATGAGAATTTCTTTTGATTTTATTTATTTTATAAGAAGATGTGACTGCTAAAAAAGTTTCATTTTAAATGTGCACTGTACATATTACTCTGTCATAAACCGTTTATTATTCTCTGAAGTAAATACAGCTTCGTGTATATATTGTCAGTATAACTTCCGACATCTGAAATGAATAAACTGTAGTTGAATGCGTATTTGACATAATAAAAACTACGCGTTTCGCGGGTTATCTTCGTGTCCAAATCCATTCTTGGAATGCCCACGTTTCGTTTGCAATTGACTTCATCAGGGCGAGGAGCAGTCTGATACTGAGCTGTTCCTCTTAGGGGCTGGGGCTTCGGGGTGTTCCCTTTATATTACGCTGTTTTTTGGAATGGGGAGAAGAGAGCGGGGATGTGGGACGAAGGTGGAAATCGGTCGATCTTCAATGACCGGGAGAATGGTCTTCCATATTTTACTTATGTTGTAGCCATTATCTCTATTTAGATTATTAGGGTATTTTTGTATCTCTATAGCCTCTATATTTTCTTAAAAAGTATGATGTAATGTTGGCTATTGTGGTCGTTTTATCAAATAATATTTGATGTCCTGTCTCGATGTTGTGTTTTGATAATGCCGACTGCGCGGCATATTTTAGCCTGACATCACGTTGATATTATCCGTAGGTTGATCATTCTCCCGGTTTCCCCAATGTATACTTCTCTACAGGAACAAGGTATTTTATATACTCCTGCAGAGCTGAGTGGAGGTCATTAATCTTTAGGATTTCTCAAGATTTTCTATCTTTTTGGGTGGTTTAAAGATGGTTCTCAAGATTTCCTATCCTTTTGGGTGGTTTAAAGATGATTCTGACATTGTGTCTGTTTAATATTTTGCCGATCCGATCTGTTGTTCCTTTGACATATGGGAGAATGGATTAGCGTGTTCAGTGAATACACTTAATATTCGAATAAATGAATAAAAAATGATTGAAAATACTCATTCGAATACGCATTTTTTTTATTCATCAAGAAACGAGAATAAATACTTTTTCATTTCATTTGAATGAATATTTTTTGAATATGATTACGAATATTTTCGTTTCGTATTCACTTTTACTCTATATCTGCACATAGCCCGTAAGCCTACAAGAGAAAACAGAAATCTATAAAAACAATGGCTACGTTTACACGTTTTTGTTTAACTTATAGATTAAACAAAGACATTTTTTATTGGGAATAAATAATATATCTCGGAATTTAATGTCCTTAGATCATAATGGACGCGCTCAAGATATCTTATAAAGTGTTTATAACATTCTGTGATGTAACCGGAATTATATCGGAATATGTATGGCGCTCTATCAAATAAATATTTATAAATAAAAAAATGTATTGCTTTCTAAAATATTTTTCAAAATTTCTAAGTTTCCTTTATAAAATCTGAATACTTCAATGACAAAAATAAATAAAATTCATTTTTTTTACTTAAAATCATCAAAGTGCCGGTTATAGTTAACGGATAACGATTGCGCGCGTTTATTGCAGCTCTTTTTCAGTTTATATTTTGTTTGAATGAATATGAATACTCGTTAAATATTCATAGTTTTTTGTCAATAAATATTTTTTGAAAAGCCAAAATTTTGAATGAATATATGATTACATTTCTTTTATGTGAAAATTTTGAATAAATACAATTTGGAGCTCAATTACAAATTTTTGTATTCATCGGGCACACTAGAATGGATAGGATCCTTTTGTTTAGTTGTGTGTCAGAGGCCGTTGTCTTGTTTGTATGTTCATTAATTATTCATATGCAGCTATCATGCTATATTCTAACTTGGAGATGGAAGATAACAAAACCAAGAACAATATTCTAAACAGGAATGTACATTTATTTTTTCCATCTACTTTCATTTCCATATTTTTCGATTTTACACACATATATCTTTAATGCGATAAAAAAAAGAAATAATTATACAATATATATACTATCAATACGACAGAGTTTATTATCGACTATATGTTGTCACATGAAAGAAGGAAAAAACTCTATTACTAGCTATTTCTTCGTATACTTCGTCGCGTAGAAATTATGAGGGTAGAAAGATGTCTACACGATAAAATGCGAAATATAAGAATGTATTATGTGTTTTAAGGATATATATCGAACGTTTCGTCTAAGAACCTAAAGATGGACGCTCCTCTGAAACTCGTCGTTTGCGGTTCGATCGCAAGAATTAAAATAGCTCGAATGTTCTCCCAGGCCTCGAGGGTTCCGTCATCGACTGTCCTTGGTCGCTCTGATCGTTTTGCATTGATAGCTGCATCAATTTGCCAGCCAGTGCAGGATTCGTCTGCATCAGCCGGAGTATCCCATCCGCAGACGCGCTGCAATCAAGTTATTTCGCGTCCAATAAAACTTTTTGCGATTTTGACAATGGTGCGTCGAAAATCAACGATCGACTAAATCCCAACTGATTTAATCGACAATCGTTTCAAATGGCAGATTTTTTAAATATAGCACATAATTATATTCATTGTCGATCTTGTTTTCTCAACGAATTCAACAACTAATATATAATTAATTTTATATTAATGTAATTTCATATTAACAATTTTATATTATATTTATGAAATATTGTAGACTCTTTTTGATAAATTACTTTAATTATCGATTGAATTAATCGCAGTTTGATGATCCTAAATTGAATAAAAATTCTCTCAGATCGACGCTCTCATTTCTTTTTTTAACTCTTTCGAAATGTATATGTGTATTTCCAATTCATATCCAATGAGTTCTGAAACTTCGTTTGTTGCGAAAATATACGAGAATTTAATCCGACGCGAGACGCTTCCAATATTTGATCTTTTTTTTACTGTATCACTTGCAAAATCAGTTGATTGAGATACTTACATACGCGGGAGGCTCCTCAGAATAGACAACAAGTCTCTCTCGCGTTCATTAACATCTGATGGAGTTTCCGCGGGACCGTCTCTCTTCCCGAATCCGATCGCCGTGGAGATGTATTCCGGTTTGAAGCCGCGGATCTCTCTCAGCTTCGTCCGGTGTTTAAAGAAATGAGGGTATTTGCTACCCTTAGTCGCGGTCGCTACAACGAAGGACCCCGCGACAAACACCAACGCGATCGCTAACGCCATCCGCATGGTTTTCTGAAGCAAAAAAAGAGATACAACAAACGCGATAATGAACGTTCACAGTATATAATTATATTTATATTTTTTAATTACAGTCTTCCATTGTGTGGAAGTTTGCATTCGTCATAAATACGTTTCGATGAAGCGACAACACATTTCTTAATTCTTACAAAATATGAACTTCTTACGAGACCTTGCCAAAATGTCGGAACACTTGCGTATTGATCTACACAGACATCGTTATTACGCAGATAATCATATTTTATTAATTAGAATTTATATACTTACTGCGATACCACAGAAATCAATTAAGACGCACGATATTTAGATATATTTTATTTAATTTGCATAAATTCTAAAGTTTACCAATATATACTAGTAGAAGTAAAATTATAACTTCTGTTTTCGCTTGGGACATCCTATTAGAAACCAAAGCACCAAATGTATTAAATTATTGATAACAAAACGAGATAGATTATATTACGTCAGGTAAATAAAAGGGGTTGATTATGTATCTTGAAACGAGATGAAAATGGCAAAAGTGAGCAAATTTGCTAGGATATTTATAATTTTATTGGTAAACACATAGTAAATTTACTTACTTTTGTAATTTTCATTTCGTTTCAATATACATAATCAACTTCCAGATGTGTGAAATAATAATTTTTTAAATGACTTCCAGGTCATAAAATATTCAAGTTTCAACACGAAATGGTTTTTATAGATTTTTCAACATAATTTTTTCGTGCAATTTTAAAAATAATTTAAATCACGATTATCTTTTTTATCAGATTTAATTAAAATTTAAAAAAATTCAGAACGACGCGATGTGCTCGCATTCAACGCGAAAAACGGCTATACGTGAATCGACGTCTCTAATTTCGGTATATTTCTTCCCGTAGATGCGAGATGATCGGAATAAAGTTTTAGCGATACGCGCTGTCTACGTCGAACCCAGATTTTCGATGATTCCAGAGGAAGAAACGTCGACTTGATTCGTGCGTGTGAAAGCAGAGAACTGGGCTCGGTGACAATTTCGTGTCGCTTTGTACATAGCCGCCGACGTCGGCGTCGCGACCGCTGGCGACGCCCGTCGTAGCCGCCGTCGACGCTGACGGAGCCGCCAGACGACTGTACTTTCCATTAATTTCTTTAATGCACTCGGCTAATCGATGTTTTATTGTCGCATTGAAATCTCCATCGATGAGATGGCTGCAATCGTAGGCGAAAGTACATACAAAGTTGTATGCAAGCCAACAAAGATGCAAAGAGGCGCCGAAACCACCGCCGTCGCCGCTGTCGCCGCCGTTTAGCGTCGTCTAGCCGCCAATGCGTATGCGAAATTTCTCTGCAGTATACGACGATCCTTCCCCCGAGGACACTTTTCGTGTTGACGATGCGCCACGCCCACGCTTTTACTTAATTTACATCGTAAACTACATTCGTCGCATGCGGTATTTTTTTGCGAGCGTTAGACCTGGCTGATAATAAATTAAAAAAGTAGGCTTAATTAAATTGCGCAAATAAATTGTAATTTCCTAAGTGGTCGAACTTTTAAATTACGAGGAATTCTACGCGGTAGATACAGTTCTGCGAAGCGTAAATTGATACCCATTAACACAATCCTTTTAATCTCCGTTTTATTTACACAAAATATATATACGTCTCTATAATGTAGGAATATGTATATGTATATAATAATGTGTATGATCATTTACAATATGTAATATTATTTCATGAGTTTCGGATGCAGCGTCATTTTGTCATTTTAACCAGGGAGTGATCTAAAACGACGACAGGTATTTCTTTAAGAATAAGAGAACGTGGAATGCCAGAATATTTAACAAAAAGCTCCAAGAAATGAAGATTAGTAGCCCCTTCAGTTTCTGCATCACTTCCCGCCTTCATACTGAAAAAAACATTCCTGCGTTAGTAACACCCATCTCAAGCAATGTTGTATTGTTACGTCTACAATATTAAGATTTTAAAATTATGCTTACCTCTCTACAGTGACAAACGACAGGACGTACATGCAAAGATATTTTACATAACGATTCATCACAGAAATGTGGAATTGACGAAGAATCGTTTGTATTCCTATGGCAAATACGACAGCGTCAACGGGATCCTGATATTTCTTGCTTAACAGACTTGCTATAAGTCAAATGTTTGTAAATGTTATTTATTTTATTACAGAACGTAATAATATATTATATATTGTATATAATTATATACGTGGATGGTTCAAGTACGTGGATGGTAAAGAACATAAAAATAAAAGTCCCGGTTTGACTTGAATCACCCATGTATATAATAATATACAGGATGTTTCATTTTAAGTGATATGGTCGATTATCTTGCGAATCGATGATTTTATTGAAAAATTTTTCGAACGAAAGTTGCGTTCCCCCTTCAAGCTATGCAACTTTCGTTCGAAAAATTTTTCAATAAAATCATCGATTCACGAGAAAATCGATCAATTACTTAAAATGAAACACCCTGTATATATAATTATACCTGTATTTTTGCAGTAGAATAATTTATTCAACTGCGACACTGTAAATAGGAAAATAATAATAGCTATATTATCCATCTTTGGTGGCTTGATATAAACTTTGTTATGCGGATCACTGATGCCAGCCCAGTCCAATCGCACGCTAAGTTCATGAAGTAATTCGCTTTTCTCCGGCTCGGTCTCATTGTTGATATTATCTTTTTTCGCTATCTCGCATAAAACGGCCCTACAAAAGAATTAAGAAAGAATTAAAAGAAATCGCAAAATTGTAAATTAATTTCTACATACGTATTCAATGTTCGAAGCGCTGCTTCCATATGCTTTGCTTCAAATTTGCACGCAGTGTTTAGTTCATACGCTATTTTTTTCCTCAGTAATTGGTAGTGACCTATTTTTAATGTCCACTCAAGCGCTGATGACCACAATTTGCTACTGCTAGCGTTTATAGAATTATGAAGTTTCGTAATGTTACCTAAGGCACATATACGCGATACTTTATGTAAATACATGTTAGTTATTTTTATTTTCGTTATATGTATATATTTTTCTAATGTGAATTCTTACTTTTAGCACTATCTAAAGAATTTAAAGTGGTCTCACAATCTTCTAACAACGATAGCCACGTTTTGTTCCGTATACTCTTTTCTATATAGTGAACTAAAGCTTCCAGTTCTATGACAATAAAAAAGGAGATAAGCTTGTCCAGTCCCAATAATCCTGGCGTGCCTATAGTTCCTAATATGATCGAGAAAACCTTGTAATTTAAGACCTCATTCTGCGTTTTAATGTCATACCATGCTAGAGAATGTTCTATGTACACGATGGTTCTGAAAAGACATAAGTCGGATTAGAGACATAGTACAATTTTTTTATAAAAGCGAAATCGAAATACAAATAACGTAATACCGCGGGTCGGTAATACGGATAAGCTCTCTGGCAAGTCTACCCATGAACGTTAAGGAGTTATTATCCATTGAAAAGATGTGCTTATCTTCTTGAAACTGTCTCCACGATTTTCCTGGCACCCAGGAAGAGCCTCTACGTTCTTCTTCGACCGCATTGTTTATAATATATGTGATCTAAGGATATACATATTTAGAATAGAATTTACGAGCATACGAGAACATTTTTGTGTAACTTATCAGAAATCATATCATCATATAATTCTCTCACTTCTTCATGCCATATCTTCAAACTGTTTATGTTAATATAATCTTGAATGTATTGGAAAGATTTTCTGTATCCGTCCATAATTGACGATAAATGATTCAATTTTTGTAAAAGAGATGTCTAAAAAATTTTTGCAACAATTATTAAGTATACAATCTTAGAAAAAAATTTCTCGTTTATCGAAATTTACCTTGGACTTTTGATCAAAGTTGAGGCCATTCTGTAAAGCCAAAGTAACTTTCTTGACGAGTTCCTGACGTATACCATCTTCTAAGAGACGATGTGAATCAACCCTCAAAACTCCTAAAGAAACACTTCTTAATGACAGAACACCCTTTGTGAAAACCGATACGGCATATGTTAATTTTGCCATCTATAAAAATAATATAATAACATAATAATGTTTTCTTTAAAATAAACATAATTCACAATGAGAATTATTTCTAATAGTATACCTGTAGTCTTTCAGCCAGTTGTGCATAATCTTTAAGTTTATCTTTGGGTAATTTAGTCGGGATTTCTTTAAAAGAATTCGTTTCAAGATGCACTATCTCTGCCAACAAACCGAACACAGTTTCAGGTATAATTTGCAAAACGCGCCTTGCATATCCCTCCAGTTCTCTGCTATAATACTGGGACACCGAGGACAAGTCCGCACTCCGTGCTTGGTTTACCCTCAGCAATGGAGTTTCCAATGCTGATGCCATCTAAAAATAATATAATGTATAAAGTATGTAATGTGTGTACGTCATACAACTTTAATTGCTTGCGTATTTACTTTAAGGAAAAGTGCTTTTAGTTTGATGACGGTTGGCGGATTTCCTTTAATGCTCTCCTGCATTACATCAATAAAAGATTCCATAATGTTCCATGCATAGCAACAATCGGTCACAATATTTAAATTTATCATGATATCTTCAGATATGCTGCCTGTACGCAACATGTTGTGTAGAGTCTCGCGTGTGTCAGCGAGATATTGTGAAATGTGTAAGTTATTTTCTAATTGATGAAATTCTGGGGAAAAAACATCATAAGATATTATAGTATAATACAAGTGTTTATATAGATTTACTTTAGACAGAAAAAATAGTCTAATTGATTCACGTTTCTTTACCCTGAACTTGTTCCAATGCTTGCAATAATTGCACTATCTTTCGCCCATCTTCTTGCTTTAATGAATCAATGTGTTTACTTATTTCCATGAACCATGTATAAAGATTTTGGTTTTTATCAATACCATCTAGAGGTTTGGCACCCCCAAAAATTTGTGCAAGATCAGTTATACGTTCGACGCATATCCCTTTGTCCTTCAACCACTTGGCTTCTTTTCCAAGCAAGAGCTAATGTAAAAAAAATTATATTAATCGCAAACAAATACAGACATCGCAATGAAAGAGAATGATCTTAAACATACATCTTTATACATCTGTTTAACATCCTGTTCAATTTGAGCAGTGCTTAATAATAAACGAAGACATTTTACTGTGGTATATTTGCTTTCCATCACGACCAACTGACGTAGAGTACGCAAACGTTTTGAATCCTCTAATATTATAGTGGGCGTAGCAGTGTGCAAAAGAATCCAATGCAACGTAACATTGCATTCTCTCACTA